CACGGCGATGTGGCCGGCAGGAAAGAGCCACGGCAGCTGCTCGCCTTTCGGATAATTCCTGCCCCTGCCGGGAGTCTCGGGCAGCGGCACTCTCTTGTTTGCGTGTGGCATGTGGAGCCGGGGTTTTATATGGCATTTGCGAGCCGAGCGAGGTCACGCTTCGTTTTTTTAAAATTCTTTGCTGAGTACCGTATATCTCTCTCTAATTTTTCCTTCCCTGGTAGCGGGGTGGGCCGGGAGGGACGATCGTGACAGCGACGGGAATGTTTACTTGTGCAGAAGTCTTTCTCATGTGGAAGCACTCTGCTCCCTAACTCCTGGCTAAGCGGACTTAAGTTCACCAACTTCGCTGCCGCACAGCACGCGTAGCTCCTTGGCAGGATGGCAGACAAAAGAACAGCTGGTGCAAAGCAATAGGGGATTCCTAGCGAGGAAGAGGAAGGAAGATCACCAGCCTTTCACCCGACGGCTGTCAGAGCAGCAGGAACGGGACAGCTGAAGCCACCATGCGCAGGTCCAGCACCGATGAGTCCACCTATCACAGGAGCCCTTCCCTGGACAGCAAGGATTACAGTTTCCCAAATGGCACCTTCCGTCGATACAGCAGCATGTATGGTGGCCAGTTTGGGGCTGCCAGCAACTCTTTTTTTGGATTTCATACCAACCCAGGCCCGAAGGCCACCAAGGCTAAGTACACAACTCCCAAGGGAAACAAATACGTTGTCTTTTACCTGGATCTCTCATTTATTTTTCTCCTAGAACTGAAGAGGTGCAGCATGGCTCACAACTGCCTGCAGTGTATCAAGTACCTAATGTTTGTTTTCAACCTTCTCTTCTGGGTGAGTACACGTTTGGAACCACAAGACGATTGTGTTTGTGTCTGCTTAGTGAGATGGAAGATGAACTTGTTGCTGCTTTTGAACTTAGGAGTTGAACAAAGTGGTGCCTAGGCTACTGTTTTTGTGGCCTCATTAATTTGTGTAGATAAACTGCTGAAGGTTTTCTTCATTCTCTCATTTCCTGGCCTTCAGCTGCATTTCAAAACTGTGGTATAAGGGAAAAGAGTGTGTTTATAGAGGTCAGTTGCATGAATGCCTTCATCACTTTGTTCCAGTGAGAGCTGTACACTTTTTCTTGCCCCGATCTTCCGTTCTTATCTGTGTTTGCCTCAAAAGCTATGCATAGTCCTAGAGAAATCACTGAGGGCATTCATGGTTGTAAGGTTGAGCACGTGCTTACATCCGTTGCTTTATTGCAGGTGGCACACTTGGTACATCACAACATTAAAGCCTGTATCAGGAATCATTCTCTGTTACTGTCAGTGGTGGGTCTTGGCATTGCCATTCCCTTCTGAAGACGTGGGTGGAGAGAGACCAGAGTGCTCCTCTCTGTTTTTGGGCTGCTACTCTGTGGCAGGAGTTTATCAAATCACTACGAGGCATGCGTATGTCAGCATCTTTTTAATAAATGAGGTGGCTGTCGACAACAAGGGTGGCTGGACGCTTCACTCCCTTTTAATGGAGTGTAGGCTGTAGCTGGAAGTGCTGTGCGGGGGGGACCCAGGTCACAAATGCTGTTAGTTCTGTAAAAAAGGAAGCAACATGTTTGCTAGGGCAGGACAGGATTTCTAGTTCAGTGTTTCTTGTCCATATGTGGGAAGGTCTGTTACAAGATTCTCAGGAGGTGCCTGTAAATGGCTTGTTCCTCCCAAGTGGCTTACTAACATGCTGAGGGAAATAAGGAGTATTGTGAAGTGACACCCCTCCCGTCCCAGCCCTTAAGGAGAGGGTGTGTGTTTGCAGCTGGATATTACTGTGTCTGTGTTACTGCTTGTCTGTGCTCTCCTGAGTTGTTGGAGGTGCTTGGAGGGCTGTGAGTGAGATGGAGAGAGCTGTTCTCTAGTGTGCGCTGCTGTACAGCTGTTCAAAGCCAGGCATGCTGCAGTGCATCAGGAAACACAAAGTGCAGGCAGCTCCTGCTGACCCGAGTCATAGCAAGAGTCAGGATCTGATAAACTAGTGCAAGTCCCCTGAACTGGCACAGCACTAACCAGAGCTGTGAAGCACAAGGAGGGTGCTCTCTCTGCATCCTAGGTGAGCTGGTGGAAAGAGTGTTGTTAAGGCTGCATTCCATCTTTCAAGGCTGACTCTGGTTGCTTCTGCTTCCCTAAAAATTGTCTAATATTTATTGCAGCTTACTCAAGAGCTTTCTGAAAAAGACAAACACTGTCTTTTTTGCTTTTTAAAGTCTTGTGTTTCTACTGACTGTCACTGGTCGAGATTATAGATAGCAGTGATAGTTGAAGTGTGAGCTGGAGAAAAGAAGTAGGATGCTGGCATTAATAGCTCTTTTCAGAACTGTGCACAGAACTGCCTCAAAGGATACAGGCATTCTGATTTCTCTTGCAATATTCATCTTCCCCTGAAACATATCCATGTCATGAGAAGAGGTACTGCTGCAAGTAACGGGTGTGTATTTACAAAGGCAAGGTTGCAAATAATAATGTATCTTTGGCATGCTTTTCAGTAGGAAAGCCTTAATGCTTTGGGAGAGAAAGAATGGTTTCTGTCTCCCCCCTAAAACTATCAGAGCTGCTCCATGCTATGCTTGGAGGGAGAGAAAAAGGCAGGAGTCCCAAAAAGAGAATACCTGTGTGGCAGTGGGGCTCTTGGTGAACTGAAGCATGCGAGCAGGGGAGTGGGTGGTGTCAAATACTGCAGCACGATCTCTGTTTTGTTTCCCTTTCACATGCTACCTGCACAGCAGGAGTGATGGATGATGATCATGTCCAAATGAGTTTTGCACAGCATGTAGTTATAATAGATGCAGCTCTTCACCTTCTCACAGTGAAGAAAGTAACTAAAAAGAGATGATTTTTAAAGGTACTGGCTAGCCTCTTCTTACTAAAAGGAGAAAAAATTTCCATTTCTAGTGATCAGAAATCTTAGAATGATTATAGGTTGATGATACTGTTGTTGTATTTTTCATCTTGTTTTCAGTTATCTGTCATGTTTTACTTTGTGAAATTAAAGGAAAAGCATCTCTGCAAGAATATAGGATTTCTCTTTGCTTACATGCTCACAGAAGTTTTGCTGGCTCCACCTTTCCTCTTCACCCTTCTTAGGTAGTTGGTTAGTAACAGGCAATAGTTTAGCTAGGAGGAGGAATTTCTTTTTCATGTATTGAAAGCAGTCATTGCATTAAATTAATTAGATGCCTATTAAAGCCTGCTCCTGCTCTTGATTCTGTTTTGAGAAAATGCTTTGATTTCTGTCAGAAATCATATTTTCACCTTCTTCTTCCTGTTCTTTAACTCAAGTACATTTTGTGCATCCCTACAGCCTATTTCCCAGTACTTTCAGTTGTCTTTCCCACAGTGTGACAGAAAAGAGTCCTCAGCCCTGTGCAGTTCCAGTGGGATTTATGCTGCATTTCTGAGGAAAAGATCCTTTTCTTACAATACTGGTGAATTTATAGGAAGCAAATTCTCTGAGACCTTGATTTTAAATGCTTTTGGCAGGCTTTGTTGGATTAGGTGCTGTGCTCATGCTGTAAAATTTTTAAAAACTGTCATATAACTGTGAAAACAGAGCAGATTTCTCCTCCCCTTTCTGATGGTTAAAGGGAGCACAAAGAACCTTCACAAGTGTCAGAGGCTGAAGTGCCTTGTCTGTGTTGATGCTGAATCAGTCCATTGGTACAGCAGACTAGTAGCTATTATTGTAGAGAAAAGAATTGGATACTCTTAAAATAACTCATTTCTCCATGAGGAGTCCTGTGCAAATTGCTCTTGGTGCATTTGCAGCTACTCTGGGGTATTAAGGTCCTGAAGCATCGGCAAAACAATATTGGAGAGCAGCACTGCTTCTCTAATGGGAATTTCCATTCATAGGCCAATCCCTGGAACAGTGTCAGATGCAGATGAGCCATCATTGTATCACTGCCCTCACTGGTGTGTAAGCTCCCAAAATAACTTTTGTCACCTGATACAGAATATGGCTGGTTTCATTCATTTTTATGGACTTGGATTTTCATTTGCTGAATTGCTGAACCCTAGAGATTGAATATCACATCAGATGATCACAGAGCAGAATATTTTTATTTCATAATGAAATATTTTTATTTCTCTGTGACATACTCAGGGAAGAACATTTGTTTTCCACATTCTCCTCCAGTCATCCAGCACTTTTTCACAGTTAGTAAAGCAAATTTTTCTCTTTCTGTGCTTTTAATCCAAGGCTCAGGTGACTTCTCTTTTTTTTTTTTTTTTTTTTTTTTGGTGAAAAAAGGTGGGATATATCCTAAAGGCTGAGAGAGTTCTGTAGAAAGGAAAGCATCATTCCCTTAATCCCCTTGATTTATGCAGCATCCCCACTTGCTTCAACTTCTAGCTCCCAAACCTGGAAGTTTCAAAAAAGGAAATGTGCTAACTGTACTTGTGTTGCCAGTGGTCTGTGCTGTCCTTAGATCCTGTGTTAGGGAAACTACCTAGAGAGGTAGCAGTTTGCCCTTCAAGAAACTGAATAGCCATAGCTGACTCTTCAGGTAATGCTTTAAGCATTAGAGAAATTCAGCAGCAAAATGCCGTTGTGTTAGAAATCTAGTTATAAAGAGGAGATAGCAACAGAAAGAAAGGAGGCAAAGAAGTTTATTATTTGTCAAACTGACCATGTGTCTCCTTTCCATTGTTAAAACATACTACATTTATATGCACTATAAAGCAGTCAAAGCTCTCCAAAAGTTTTGTGAAAGCTTTAATTTAATCGGGTAGGCTCCCAGTGATGCAGGGGTATAGTCTCTGCTCTCTTGAAAACTTGGGAGTTGCTGTCTGCTGGACACATTGTGGATGAAATGAGCAGTTGGAACTCTGCTTTCCACCTTTCTGGATGAAGAGGTGAGGCAAGGCACTTTGCTTTCTTTTGCCATTTGGTCCATATTAAATTCCCAACTGATACAGACCTGGAAATGCTTTATCTTGGCTTGTGAGACACAAAGTGCAGCTCTGAAATGTAAAGAAATACAGAGCCAAGGAAGTGGCAGGTAGCACTAGTGAATGCACCAGGATCTCTGTGGGGAAAAAAACCCGAGAAACTGTTTAGTCTGATTGTAGGGTCCAGCTTTGGGTCTCTTCCTCTGTCTTTGCTGATGCTGATAGTTTGTGGATTACAGTTTGAGAAGCTCTGCACCAATGAGTACTCCTGGCCTGGTGCACTGGTGATACTGCCAACATTACTCACATTTAATTAGAAGGAGAGGAAGTAATAGAAATGAGAAATCCCTCATTACTGGCATTATTTTACTTCCTTGCACTCCAGCAGCACAGGTTGTCTTGTAAGAACTGTGCAAATGTTTATAATACGTGGAAGACTGACTGTGCAGGACAGCTGGAGAAGGGAACAGCTTGGTCTGAAAATGCACCATGGGGTACTGGATTGTGTTTGAGTGATCCTGGCCAAATTTGGCCAGAGGGTAGGGCTAGAGGGGTGTCTCTTCATTTCACTGTACCTTGTTGGGAAACCATCTGACACTATTAGCTTGAGAAGAGCAGTTGGCTGGAAGGTGGAGAATTTTGTAAGAGAATCAGCTGATTTTGTTGAAGTGAATTCCTTGTCCTTCATCTGCATTCTCCATCAGTCAGCTGAATGAGATTGATGGTTTAAACAACCAGAAACTCTACAGACTGTTAGTGGCTGAGGACAGCAATCATTTTGTGGTTATACTTGGCTGCAGTCTTAAGTTAGTGGAAAAAGAATTACCAATAGAGCAGTAAGCCATTTTAAAAGCAGGCCCCCCATTTCATCATAATTATGTGTGCACGTTCTCCTCTGATGGGCAAGGG